GTTGGGGCAAGGGGGGCACTGGAGGAGGTGGGACATCACTGGGTTATGAAGGACAAAGAGTGAAAACCTGGACGAAGCAGCTCCCAGTGGGATAAATCGTGGAGTGTTCCTTGCTGCTGGAAGGGCTTGTAACTGTTGGGCTCTGTTTCACAGCACATCACACTGGATGTTGTTGAAGGCCATTCCTCAGGGAAATAATCTGATCCTTAAGAAACCAAAGAAGAGATTTTTGCTTTCCCTGTTGTTTTGTGGAGCAGTCACTCTCCGTGTGCCATCCCACACGTTTGTCCTCTCCTGTGCTGCTGGAACATCTCCCCTACACCAGCCCAGTGTGCTGAGCCCCCCCTCCTGCTCCCCTCCCACCCTGCTGTGCTGGGTTGTTTTTGGGAACGATGCTGGGTTTAGGGCTCTCTGGGGGGTGGCTGGAGGGCTCCACTCTTCCATAGCTCTGGGTACTGCAGAGAGGTCCTGTTGCTGGAGGGGCAGTGTGGAACCTCGTGGCCATGCTCCACACTCCATAAACTAAAGCAGTGGTGGAATCTTCCAGTGGCTTGTGGGTTTTCAGTCATTAATTACCTGATTAGGCTATTAAGGAGAGGAGGGGCAGAGTGCAGGGCTGGTGAGGCCTGGGATGAGGAGTGTGGAGTTGCTGGAGTTGGGAGTTAACAGAATTTTATTTTAATACTCAAATCTGCCTGCCTGCTAAAACCCATCCTCTCCTTTTACAGACTCTCGAACGCTCCTACTTGCTGAAAATCAACTCCAAAGGTAGGAGCTGTTCCTCATGCTAAGCACTTCTTCGTACATTTGAGTCAATTTAATTAAATTAAAGTTTAGCTACTGTGCTGTCAGCGATGGTTATTGCAAGCCCTTGGCTTGGAAATCCTTGGACACCAGAAGGGTCAGAAGTTAACTGTAATATCATAAAGGTGAAAGATAATTGGATTCTGGGCTGGATATTTGATTGGACTGTAACTGTTAATAGGAGTGAGTTTTTTTCCTCCTCTGTGAGAGCAGCTGAGCGTTGGAGCAGGTTGTTCCTTGGGTTTTTCAAAGCCTGACTGGGGGAAGTCCTGAATAAACAGGCCTGTGCTCTTAGCTGTCTCTTCTTTGGCCAGGAGTTGGGCTGGAGATCTCCTCGAGTTCCTCCCAACTGGAATTACTCTGTGATTCCATGAGAAGTCTGTCTCTCGTGTCCCACTGCACGTTGTTTGCAGCTTGTTGCCGTGATCTGTGTGTGTCTGTGCTGACAGTGACTGTCACACTGAGCCTTTCTCCTCCTCGGCTTCCTGGCTGCAGCTGGGGGGTGAGAGGCTAGACAGGACCTGGCCCCGTGTGCTGGGACCCCAAAATTCCAGTGTGCTGGGCTGATCCTGCAGTGTGGGAGGGGGGATTCTGCCCCTCTGTCCCCTCAGGTGAGACCCACCTGCAGAGCTGCCTCCAGCCCTGGGGTCCCCAACATCAGAAGGCTGTGGAGCTGCTGAAGGGAGTCCAGAGGATCCAAGAGGATCAGAGGGATGGAGCAGCTCTGCTGGGAGCAAAGGCTGAGGGAATTGGGTTCAGCCTGGAGAAGAGAAGGCTTTGGGGTGACCTAACTGTGACCTTCCAGTACCCAAAGGGAGCCCGTAAGAAAGATGGACAGAGACTATTTCCAAGGGCCTGGAGTGACAGGACAAGGGGAATGGCTTCCCACTGCCAGAGGGCAGGGTTGGATGGGATATTGGGAGAAATCCTTCCCTATGAGGGTGGTGATGCTGGCAGGACTTAAAGAATGCAATGAGTTGCCTCAAAAGACTGTCAAAGAAGGAAATTCCCATAAGATAAGCCACCACCACAGGAATTTGTGATAAGCACAGACTGGGAACAACAGGAACCAGGCCTGGTACAGCAAATGTGGATAACCTACTCAATCCAAAATCCCCACTGTGGAAAACTGTGAGAAAGGAAAGTGTTAATTACAGACCTAAATGAAGGTGAAGGTTTGGAATCAGCACACCAACAAAATTCCACTGTGCAAGCTGTGGGGAAGGAAAACAACTGCTCTCACCCATGCCACCCCGAGTTGTGGGAACATCTGAGACTCCCTGGGAACATCCAGGACTTGCACTGTATAAAAGTGGTGCCCCAGGAGCACAATTTTGGGACCCTCAGCACCGAGAAGACCAGAAGAAGGACCCAGGGGGATGCTGTCAGAATCCACATGGTGGTGACACCTTTATCTATTTACTTAATCTCTGTCTCCCTCTCTTTCTCCCCTGCCTCCTTCTCTCTCTCTCTCCCTCATATTTACTGTTAAATAAAACCGTACTATGGACTTCGGGCTATGGTCTCGTTTGCACCTTAACCTGAGCAGGGGCACCTTTTAATACCGCACAGAAACAGCTGCTCATCTCCCCAGCCCGCCCCTCCCTGAACGTGCCTCCTAATTCAGGCTGGGACAGGTAAGATAAGGGTGCTGTTGTCCTGCTATCCCAGTGCAGAAGGATGTGCACACCTGAAGCTACAGACTGAATTTCCAGGTAAGGGAAGAGGCAAATCCTGGGAGGTGGGATGGTCAGTGTCCTCCCTTCCGTGATGACTCAGCCGTGAAAACCCCCCTGAGGAGCACCTTCCCACCTGGCCAAAGGCTCACGACATGTCCCTGACCCAGGATGACATCACCACTGTAAAACTCCCCGCCCCAGGGCAGGGACCGGGCGCTCCCACCTGAACCCGGGTGTACATGACTCATGAAACCTCTGACTTGGGTGGGCTCCCCCACGGATCACCACCACCACCACTTCAACCAAAAGGCACCGAAGCTGCACCTACCCCGTCTCCTCTCTGGATCCAGTGGGTGCTGACTGTGTATCTTTCTTCTTCTGTCCTTTCTTCCTCTTGCTTGTCCCTACACATTTCCTCAAGTGTTATTTCTGTGCTTTTATATTGCTGTGGTACTGGGGGTAATAACCAGCAGGGCTGGGTATATTCTGCTTAATTAGACGCTCATACTTTTGGTCTGTGTTTGGCCCAGCCACCCGCCAGAGTCTGTTCTTCTCCTGCCAAGCTATGAGAAAACAAGCACTGAGAAGGGAGAACTTTGTCCTTGAAGGAAGCACCTTGAATCAGCTGAAATGAGCTGGGGGCTGGCTATTGGCCTACAGCCCTCCAAGGGCATTTGGAGGAGAAAGTGAAGAGCAGGAGGATGAAGGAAGCCCCCAGACTCATTTAAGAAAGACCCCTGAGGTGCAGCACGCTGGCGTAGAGGGGGCACCACTGGCATCCTGGGGCCAGGGATGATAAAAGCTCTGAGAAGAACAGGGGCCATGTCTTTGCCCAGGCCCGTGTTTGAAACATCATTAAGATTAATATTCTGTAAGTGCAGTGTTCTCAACTTTGGAAACAAATTTTCCTGCCATCCTTCCACTGCCTGGCATTTTGGAGAAAGTGCCATGAAAAGGGGCAGAAATGCAAAGATTTCTTGTCCAAGCTGTATTAATATATTTTTCTTTTTGGCTATCAGTGTGCCCAGTATATCAAAGCCTTTTAAAGCCCCAAACAGTCTGTCCACACCTGACCCAAGGAGACCCTTTGCTGGACAGATTCACCACGATGGACAGGACTTCTGATATCCTGATATGGGGACGGTACTTAATAGCAGTGGAGAACCTTCTCAGCAACGTTCTCCTCCAAGTTATGGGGCTGCCAGCACCAGAAACAGCCCGGCCTAGCTGCAGCTGACAAAAGAACTGTTATTAACACAAGGATGTGACAGAGTACTGTAGGGTGCGCGTCGCCGGCGATAACGTTGAACTGTACCATGGCACTGAACTCATGAGAAACATCCCAAAAACCAGAAGCACCCTTTACAAAACAACACAACCACCTAAGCCTTAATACAAACCTCCAGCAACAACCCCCTCCACGACAGACCAATTTACAAAGACTGGAACGAAATCTTAGCACATTAACACGAAGCAAAGAAGAAGGAGTATAGCCACCTCCCACTGACACCCATTTTAACTCGTGAGATAAGGAAATGCACACCTCAAAGCAAACCCTGCACAATGAGTCAGCTGTAAAGTACAACATAGGACAACCACAAAAAGAATATAAAGCAAGATGTGTACTAAGTTACAAGGTGTAGGGCAAGGTAACATTAGTAGCTATAATAAGGTATCTATGGGGTAAAGGTGAAGGACAGTGATCTATAAGGTGTAAGGCAAGGTGAAGGTAAAGGAAGCAGAGTAAATGGTTGCTCACCCCTACAGTGTCTGAAGGAGTTCCCATAAGATGTTGCCAAGAAAGGCCGTGCTATTTCCATGACAGTCCATCGTTCCTTTATCCTATCAGTCTGTTGCTGGGAAGTCTTCCAGTTGAGGACTTTCAGGAACCCATCGGGGTCTCTTTGTCCCTTTTGTGTAGCCCATCATCATCTGGCAGTGGTTTTCTGGGAATGCCCCCTCCAGGTGCTGAGGTGTTTCCCATAACTGACCAGGATGGTCACCATGGCCATAAGTTGGTCTGTCACCCCACAGGTACCTGGGCGTTATCTGACTTCACAGAGACACACACGAACTGTTCATGGCAAACAATCTCCTCCCGGGCTGGGCTTCCAGGGCAGCAAGTTTCCGTGAGCAAAGGCTATTTTTTCTCTCCTCAAGCGGCTCTTCTGATGCCCTTTGCCCCTGACATTCCAGCTCCTCGCTCCAGGAAGCTTTCCCACTGGGCCTGGAAGTGCAGGTGCACATAGAGTGTGCAGAGGGAGCTGGCAAAGCGCACAGGAAAAGGACCGAAGGTGGAGCGCTACGAGGTGGATTGTCCCTGTGCTCTCATGTCACCACCCTGAGGCGGGGCGGTCCCGTCCAAGCCAAAGCGCCGCAGTGCAACGGGGCGAGCGCTGACGTGGCAGCAAAATGTGACATCGGGCGGGAACTGCGGCGCAGTTTGGAGACACGAGGCGGGATCCGGGCACCCCGAGCGGGAAAACTCCCACCTACACAGAATTCCCACACGGCTGCTCTAAAAACCCCAATCCTGAAGCCTCAAGCTTTGCTGCAAGTATTACTCTTATTTAAGGCTCCCACCTGAACTTTTGCAGAGCCTTTAGTTCTTTAACACCTTCGAGTTGTGTGAAGAGAAGGTGCCGGCACACTTTGCCAAAACCTGGGGAGAAGTTTTGGTGTCCTGGCCAGAGGTTCAGAGGAATAAGGTACAACCAGGGAGGAGTGTTCCATTAAAGCACTCAGCAAACACCAGCCCCACACAACCTCCCAACCCCACATGGCTTACCCCTGAGGAGTGCTCTGGAAGTCTGGCTCCTCATGGCAGTGAGGGCTCCGGAGAGGGAAGAGAGAGAGAAGAACTCCCGTGCTCCTGTATTTATAGGAGGGTGGGGCCTCCAACCTGGCCCCTCCCACACGTGGAGTTGGTTGATTCCACCCAACAATGAAATCATCCACTCAGATAAGAGCCTGATCTCTCATGACTTCGACCCTGGTCCAGAGCTGCACACTCACCCAGGCCTATTGCTTTTAAAAATGCATTCCAGACTCCAAAAGTTGGCCCTAACATTCAGCCAAGGTAGAGCATTCCACAAAGCACTGACCCAGCACACACCAACACACACAGCTTGGCAGAACCCAACCACTGGCTTGGAGTTACCCAAAATGTTAAGTAAAAAAAGAGACTGAAGGAGAGAAATACAGAGACTACAAGAAGAAAAAGGAGCAAAGAAAAAGAGAGAAAAAAGATTAGGATGAGGAAAAGGAGTAAAGATAAAGAAGAAGAGAGGAGAAAAGAGAAAAACAGATTGTCACGTACCTACCACCGATGAGTCCTGTGGCAGTCCATCTCCACCAGGCAGGTCCTGAGAGGAAAGGCAAGGACACCATGTGCTGCTGTTCCTCTGTGGCCACTCCTCTGGGCAGGGCTTCGTGCTGACTGACCCCTGGGTGCCTCCAGGCCGGAGCAGCCAGTCAGAGGCTGGGTGAGGAGCTGCAGGGCACGGTATGGGTGGGCCCCCAGGCTGCCCTATGAGCCACAGCTCCACTGCAGACCGACCTGCTACCCTCCAGGGCAGCTCCCGCTCACCTGACTCCACTGCCCATGGGCTGGTCCCTGGCACAGACCCCATCTCCAGCCCAGCTTCCAGGGGGTTACTGTCACCAGGAGAATGGCCGTGGGGCCCAGGGGACCCAGCACTTGTTGCTGAGCCATCTGATGACACAGGGAGTGCCTGTTCTCTCCCACTCTCTGGTGCTTTTTCTATCAACCTCTTTCTCATGCACGTGACACTGAAGTGCCATTCTCCCCTGCATGTCGTCTCTCTGTTCCCAGCAGCGGCCCCAGGTGTGTCTGTGAAAGCTTTCTCTTTTGTCCCAGGGAGTCAGCCTCGTTGGCAGGCAGGGAGAGAGAGACATGTAAAGCTATTCCCGGGAAAGATCCTTCTCCCAGGCTGGGCTTCCAAGGCAGCAAAGTTTCCTTGAGCGAACGCTGGTTTTTTCCCCTCCTCGAACAACTCTTCTGAAAACCTTACCCCTGGCAGCTCTGCACCTGTTTTCCTTTGCAACCAAACTGTTCTGAAATAAACTCTACCTATATGTATTTACAAGCACCACTCAGTGTTGTTTCACTCTAATTCACCCCATGGGATATATTATTAAGGACCTGGGTTACCATGCCCTTCTGGGGCAGGTTGTAATACCCTGGCACAGAGTGCCCAGAGGAGCTGTGGCTGCCCCTGCATCCCTGGAAGTGTCCAAGGCCAGATTGGACGGGGCTTGGAGCACCCTGGGCTGGTGGGAGGTGTCCCTGCCCATGGCAAGGGGTGGAAGGAGGTGGGTTTTGTTGTCCCTCCCAGCCCAACCCACCTGTTGTGTGACTGTGTCTGTCCTGCCGCAGTTGCTGAGCGCCCTCAGCACATGCTGATGAGGGTGTCCGTGGGGATCCACAAGGACGACATCGACGCTGCCATCGAGACCTACAACCTGCTGTCGGAGCGCTGGTTCACGCACGCCTCCCCCACGCTCTTCAACGCCGGCACCAACCGCCCCCAGCTCTCCAGGTACCCGCCTGGCCCCGCTCCTCGGGGCACAGCTGGCACAGGGGGAGGCCCAGGCATCAGGGCTGTGCAAGGGAGGTGCTCTCGCAGCCTCTGAAACCACCAGCTGTGTGTCTGGGTGTTTGATGGAACCTTGAGCAGCTGCTGGCAAATTTAACCTGTCTTTAGGTAAAAATACGCTGGTTCCTGTGAACTTTTGGAAATCCTTGCATGTCTCCATTGTATTGAGAAGTTCCTGGTGTGCATGGTCTGCTGCAGATTACAAAATTAATCCTGGTAGTTGTTTGCTACAACATGCCAGAGGCAGCAAGCATAACTAATAGGATTTTAATATACAGATGTAATATACAGATGTATATTTTGTAACGCTTTATATCAATATATTCGGAAGAGGTTCTTCCCCCAGAGGGTGGTTGGCACTGCCCAGGCTCCCCAGGGCAGTGGGCACGGCCCCAAGGCTGCCAGAGCTCCAGGAGCATTTGGGCAACGCTCTGAGGGACAGGGGGGAGTGTTGGGGTGTCCTGGGCAGGGCAGGGCTCGCACTGGGTGATCCTCGGGGGCCCCTCCCATCTCAGGATATTCCATGACTCTATAATTACAAGTGTTTGCTAACAGAGGCATCAGCAGTACAACTGTTGCTCGTGCTGTTTTCTGAGACCACCCTTTATTCCACCTTCCCCCTCGTGGGTGTCCCTTGTGGATCCTGTTAAAGGTTCCATGTTAACCCTGCTTTCTTGCAGCCTGCTGAAACCCTTTTGAGTTTCCCCCTCTGTGCACTAAAGCCCTTTGTTCCCACCAGCTGCTTCCTGCTGTGCATGAAGGACGACAGCATCGAGGGGATCTACGACACCCTGAAGCAGTGTGCCCTCATCTCCAAGTCTGCTGGGGGCATCGGCCTGGCCGTGAGCTGCATCCGAGCCACGGGCAGCTACATAGCTGGGGTGAGTCTGCAGGGGGCCTGGCACGGGGATTGGCTTATTTCCTCTCAGGAAACGTGTATTTTTTGGTTGCCAAAGTCAGTTCTGTTGACTTCTGCTGACTCGGTTCAGCCCAGCAGTGAGTCTCACTCAGTGGTCCTTCCCTTGCCCTGAGGCAGAAAGGTTGGTTTCCCTTCGTGTTTTGGTTTCCCTTGGTGTTTTGGCTTCCTAATAGAAGTCCTTCCAAGGAGAGGATCTTGTTCCACTGTTTGAGCAGACAATTCCAACTTACTCATGTATTAGCAGCCTAGGAATATGCCCTGGTGCATTAGCCCTTTGCCTTTCTGTGTCTCTGCCCCAGAACACCTGGGGATTTTTGTCACACTGTGTAACCCCTGCAAGCCTTTAAGTGACGTAATGGAGGAAATAAGTTAGGACAGACAGTTTAATAACTCTGTGGATTATATATATATTAAAAAAAAAGATTTGGTGAAGGGACTACAAATAATTGGGGGTGATCATTTCTTGGCTCTCCGTGCCAGAGCTTTCCAGAGTGCTGGAGGGCACGCAGGAGATGCAGGCCTGTCCCTCCAGGGAGTCTCCTTTCAGCACTGATGTCTCTCCTGTGTCCCTGCAGACAAATGGGAACTCCAACGGGCTCGTTCCGATGCTGCGGGTCTACAACAACACGGCCCGTTACGTGGACCAAGGTGGAAACAAGGTACTGGCCTGGCTTTAGTCGGGGTCCAGAGGGAACCTGGGCTCAGGGGAGAGGCCCCACACCAGGCAAGGGTCGTCCCAGTAATGTCAGGCAGCTGATGGAGCGGTTGTGGGTGGCACACAGTTAAAAAGGGGCATTTCCCCCTTTGTGTTTTTACTCCGGTGTTCCCCTTCAGTTCCCAGGGAGTTTGGGGTGTTGTGTGCGGTCGGGAGCAGAGCAGGAGGTTTTCTTTCCTAGGACAGTTTGTTCTGATCTCGGCTGTGTTCCATGTTCCAGAGACCTGGGGCTTTTGCCATCTACCTGGAGCCGTGGCACCTGGACATCTTTGAGTTTCTGGACCTGAAGAAAAACACTGGGAAAGAAGAGCAGAGAGCCAGGGACCTTTTCTTTGCCCTCTGGATCCCTGATCTCTTCATGAAACGAGTGGAAACCAACCAGGTGAGCAGCCTGATTGGCACAGAGTAGGTCTGTTAGTGGAGGGACAAGGGACCAGCCCTGGGGGGAGCTCAGGAATTTCCTGAGAGAGCTGCTGCCCCTCATTTGAGAACTTGGCTGTGCAGGTAAAGGATGGAACTGGACATCTCCAGTGGGATACTTCACTTCAGGATGTAATCTTTCAGCCCCTGACTAATGTACTCAGACTGTTAGACTGAATTTTTACCGTGGAGTTTCCTAAAGCATCAGCACTTTCTTAGTAAATTGTTCTGTGTCTGCTCATATTTCACACAGAATCCCACACTGGTTTGGGTTGGGAGGGACCTTAAAACTCACCCAGTGCCACCCCCTGCCATGGGCAGGGACACCTTCCACCAGCCCAGGGTGCTCCAAGCCCCGTCCAACCTGGCCTGGGACACTTCCAAGGATGGGGCAGCTGCAGCTTTAATCAACAGGGTGCATAAAAATTCCCTCTGAATATTTTTCCTACCTACAGGACTGGTCCTTGATGTGCCCAAATGAGTGTCCTGGCCTGGATGACGTCTGGGGAGAGGAGTTTGAGAAACTGTATGAGAGGTAAGAAGAGTGAATAGATGTGTAAGTTGTGTCATCTCTCACAGAGCTGCCCCTGGGATCCTGGGCAAGGCACAGGATTGTGGGCAGGGGGTTCATTATCCTACTGATAAAAGGGTGAAGAAGGGGGATGTGTCCTTGGCACTGTGACCTGCTCGAGGTGGGGCTGTGTGTGAATGATCCTTTCAGCTGGTGAGAGGGCAGTCCTGCCGTGATCCCCACTCACAGCTGTCCACGGCTGTGCTTGGAGCTTGCTGTGTGGACGTTATAGAGAAAGATTTGCTTCCCTCAAACAAGGGCAGTGCTGCTGCCCTGCTTTGCTCTGTCAGAGCTCAGAGTTGAGCAGTTCAGGGCTCTTGGTTGCCTGGGGAGGGCTCTGTCCCTGCCCCGTGGGAGCCTGGGGCTGACGGCACCGCGCTCCCGTTGCAGCTACGAGCGGCAGGGCCGCGTGCGCAGGGTGGTGAAGGCCCAGCAGCTCTGGTACGCCATCATCGAGTCCCAGACCGAGACTGGCACGCCCTACATGCTCTACAAGGACTCCTGCAACAGGAAGAGCAACCAGCAGAACCTGGGCACCATCAAGTGCAGCAACCTGTGCACGGAGATCGTGGAATACACCAGCAGCGAGGAGGTGGGTGGGGAGCGGGAACGCGCAGCGTTTGGGGCAGCCCTTGGGAACAGTATCCAGCTGTGGCCTGGGGAAGGGAACAGGCAGCTGTTCTCCCCTTGGTCTCAGAGCTCCAGGGATGTGCTGTGTCTGGGCTGCAGCACAGCTCACAAAGGTGAAGAGGGGCATAGAAATGGGTCAGTGCTGATACAGGGCAGGGAGTTCCAGAGCAGCCAAGCTCTGAAGCTGCTGTGACTGAAAAGATCGGTTTGTGCTGCTGCCTGTGCTGCTGGTGGTTCTTTAATTCACGTGCTTCAGAATATTCATCAAATCCTGAGTGGTCTGGAAGAGATGGAGCCATCTCTCCTGCCTGCACTGCACAGGAAACCTTAACTGGCTTTTTTCAGTTCTCCCAGGGCTGAAAGCAAAGCTGATGTTAAAAAATGACACAAGAAAATGCCCTGGTGTATCTGGATCTCACTGGGATCAGCTGCTGCTCTGGGAACACAAGAAATAGTTGGGCTTAGTTTATGTGGACCTTAAAGCCTCTTCCAGGGCCTGAAGGGGCTCCAGGAGAGCTGGAGAGGGACTTTGGACAAGGGATGGAGGGACAGGACACAGGGAATGGCTTCAAACTGCCAGAGGGCAGGGATAGATGGGATATTGGGAAGAAATTGCTGGCTGGGAGGGTGGGCAGGCCCTGGCACAGGTTGCCCAGAGAAGCTGTGGCTGCCCCTGGATCCCTGGAAGTGTCCCAGGCCAGGTTGGAGGGGGCTTGGAGCACCCTGGGCTGGTGGAAGGTGTCCCTGTCCATGGCAGAGGTTTGGAACAGGATGAGCTTTGAGGTCCCTCCCAGCCCAAACCCTTCTGGGATTCTGTGTAAGGATGTCTTGCAGGCAGTAGGGCTGACCATGCCAGAATTTTTCAGGTCATACCACTTTCTCCTAAATCTTTTTGAGCTGTCACTGCCCTTCTCACGTCTCCTGAGACACACAGGAACAAGGGGTGCCTTTTCCCAGCGCTGTGGGTTTCCTGGGGGTTGTTTCCAGGCCGTTTGGATCCCGAGCCTGCTCTGGAGCTGTGCTTTTGGCACAGGGTGTTGCTGGCTGCCCCATCCCTGTCCTCTCCACAGGTGGCTGTGTGTAACCTGGCCTCCATCGCCCTCAACATGTACGTGACCCCCGAGCACACCTACGACTTCAAGAAGCTGGCAGAGGTCACCAAGGTCATCGTCCGAAACCTCAACAAGATCATCGACATCAACTACTACCCCGTGCCAGAGGTGAGGGCTGGGCTGGGAGGGGCCAAATCCTGCCAGAGCCTGGGCTGGAGCAATCCCAGGGCAGGCTGGGACACAGGGAGTCACTGAGGGACTTTCTAAACCTGTTCCCAGGTGGGCTCTGTTAATGCAGCGTGAGCTGCAACTCAGAGCAGTTGTAGGAAAAACCTCCCCTCGAGACGGTTCTAGGAATTGTTTCCTGTGTGAGGATTTCCATAAAGCACAGAGCAGCACTAGGAACAGAGAGAGGGATCCTGGGAAGATCCCAAGAAGGTGTAACTCAGACCTGTTGGTTTTACAGCTCTCTGACAGGAGGGTGGAGCCAGGTGAGGGTCGGGCTCTGCTCCCAGGGAACAAGGGACAGGACAAGAGGAAATGGTCTCAAGCTGTGCCAAGGGAGGTTCAGGTTGGACATCAGGAATAATTCCTTCATGGAACAGGCTGTCCAGCCCTGGCACAGCTGCTCAGGGCAGTGGTGGAGTCACATCCCTGGAGGGATTTAACAGCCATGTGGATGTGGCACTTGGGGACAGGGGGCAGTGGTGGCCTTGGCAGTGCTGGGGGAGAAGTTGGACTTGGTGGTCTCTGAGGACTTTTCCAGCCTCAGTAATTCTGATTCTGCTCTATTAAATGGACCTGTTTCCAGGCACAGGCTTGTTTTCCAGGACATGCTGAGTGTTCACTTCAGCCTGGCTCCCTTTGCCAGGTTGAACAATTGCAGCCTGTGATCAGTTCTAGCAAACTCAGCCTGGGCCTGCAGTTCCTGCCCCAGCAAACAGCGACAGTGGGGCCCTGGGCAGGCCTGCAGGGTGGGTCGGTGCAGCAGGACGCATGGCAGGTTGCAGCAGCAGCAGGATCTCCTCCCAGAGGCCCTTCCCAGCCTGGCGTGTTCCCTGCAGCTGTGCCCGAGGTGACTCTGTCCTTGCAGGCCGAGCGCTCCAACCGGCGGCACCGGCCCATCGGCATCGGCGTGCAGGGCCTGGCCGACGCCTTCATCCTCATGAGGTTCCCCTTCGAGAGCCCCGAGGCCCAGCGCCTGAACCAGCACATCTTTGAGACCATCTACTACGGGGCCCTGGAGGCCAGCTGTGAGCTGGCCCAGGAGCAGGGCCCCTACGACACCTACCAGGGCTCTCCGGTCAGCAAGGGGGTGAGTGCAGGGAAACCCTGGGGAGCTCGTCCTGGGCCCGGGCTGGGGCACAGACAGGAGGGTTCTGGTTGATGGCAGGTTGGATCTGAGTCACAGTGTGCCCTGGCAGCCAGGAGGGACATCCATGCCTGGGGAGGCATCAGGCACAGCACTGAGGGAGAGGATTGCCCCACTCTGCTCTGCACTCACCTCAGTCCTGGGGGTGTTCAGGGCACTGCAATAGAAGATCTAAAGCCATTAGAGAGCACCCAAAAGAGGGACAGGGGATGGGGAAGGGTCTGGAGGGGCCGTGAGGAGCAGCTGAGGGCACTGTGCTGGTGCAGCTGGAGCAGAGGAGGGCAGAGCTCAGCGGGGGCTGCAGCTCCTCCCGAGGGGCAGCTCCCACC